GGTGCGTGGGGGGGGAGTGAGGGAGGGGCGAGTGAGGGAGGGGCGAGTGAGGCCTGTAAAGAACAGTGGGCAGGATGAGGAGAGGCCGTTCCAGTTGTACTATGACACAGAGCAGTGGGCGAGGTGCGTGTGGGGGGGAGTGAGGGAGGGGCGAGTGAGGGAGGGGCGAGTGAGGCCTGTAAAGAACAGTGGGCAGGATGAGGAGAGGCCGTTCCAGTTGTACTATGACACAGAGCAGTGGGCGAGGTGCGTGGGGGGGGAGTGAGGGAGGGGCGAGTGAGGGAGGGGCGAGTGAGGCCTGTAAAGAACAGTGGGCAGGATGAGGAGAGGCCGTTCCAGTTGTACTATGACACAGAGCAGTGGGCGAGGTGCGTGGGGGGGGAGTGAGGGAGGGGCGAGTGAGGGAGGGGCGAGTGAGGCCTGTAAAGAACAGTGGGCAGGATGAGGAGAGGCCGTTCCAGTTGTACTATGACACAGAGCAGTGGGCGAGGTGCGTGTGGGGGGGAGTGAGGGAGGGGCGAGTGAGGGAGGGGCGAGTGAGGCCTGTAAAGAACAGTGGGCAGGATGAGGAGAGGCCGTTCCAGTTGTACTATGACACAGAGCAGTGGGCGAGGTGCGTGGGGGGGAGTGAGGGAGGGGCGAGTGAGGGAGGGGCGAGTGAGGCCTGTAAAGAACAGTGGGCAGGATGAGGAGAGGCCGTTCCAGTTGTACTATGACACAGAGCAGTGGGCGAGGTGCGTGTGGGGGGGAGTGAGGGAGGGGCGAGTGAGGGAGGGGCGAGTGAGGCCTGTAAAGAACAGTGGGCAGGATGAGGAGAGGCCGTTCCAGTTGTACTATGACACAGAGCAGTGGGCGAGGTGCGTGGGGGGGGAGTGAGGGAGGGGCGAGTGAGGGAGGGGCGAGTGAGGCCTGTAAAGAACAGTGGGCAGGATGAGGAGAGGCCGTTCCAGTTGTACTATGACACAGAGCAGTGGGCGAGGTGCGTGTGGGGGGGAGTGAGGGAGGGGCGAGTGAGGGAGGGGCGAGTGAGGCCTGTAAAGAACAGTGGGCAGGATGAGGAGAGGCTGTTCCAGTTGTACTATGACACAGAGCAGTGGGCGAGGTGCGTGGGGGGGAGTGAGGGAGGGGCGAGTGAGGGAGGGGCGAGTGAGGCCTGTAAAGAACAGTGGGCAGGATGAGGAGAGGCCGTTCCAGTTGTACTATGACACAGAGCAGTGGGCGAGGTGCGTGTGGGGGGGAGTGAGGGAGGGGCGAGTGAGGGAGGGGCGAGTGAGGCCTGTAAAGAACAGTGGGCAGGATGAGGAGAGGCCGTTCCAGTTGTACTATGACACAGAGCAGTGGGCGAGGTGCGTGTGGGGGGGAGTGAGGGAGGGGCGAGTGAGGGAGGGGCGAGTGAGGCCTGTAAAGAACAGTGGGCAGGATGAGGAGAGGCCGTTCCAGTTGTACTATGACACAGAGCAGTGGGCGAGGTGCGTGTGGGGGGGAGTGAGGGAGGGGCGAGTGAGGGAGGGGCGAGTGAGGCCTGTAAAGAACAGTGGGCAGGATGAGGAGAGGCCGTTCCAGTTGTACTATGACACAGAGCAGTGGGCGAGGTGCGTGTGGGGGGGAGTGAGGGAGGGGCGAGTGAGGGAGGGGCGAGTGAGGCCTGTAAAGAACAGTGGGCAGGATGAGGAGAGGCCGTTCCAGTTGTACTATGACACAGAGCAGTGGGCGAGGTGCGTGGGGGGGGAGTGAGGGAGGGGCGAGTGAGGGAGGGGCGAGTGAGGCCTGTAAAGAACAGTGGGCAGGATGAGGAGAGGCCGTTCCAGTTGTACTATGACACAGAGCAGTGGGCGAGGTGCGTGGGGGGGGAGTGAGGGAGGGGCGAGTGAGGGAGGGGCGAGTGAGGCCTGTAAAGAACAGTGGGCAGGATGAGGAGAGGCCGTTCCAGTTGTACTATGACACAGAGCAGTGGGCGAGGTGCGTGGGGGGGAGTGAGGGAGGGGCGAGTGAGGGAGGGGCGAGTGAGGCCTGTAAAGAACAGTGGGCAGGATGAGGAGAGGCCGTTCCAGTTGTACTATGACACAGAGCAGTGGGCGAGGTGCGTGGGGGGGAGTGAGGGAGGGGCGAGTGAGGGAGGGGCGAGTGAGGCCTGTAAAGAACAGTGGGCAGGATGAGGAGAGGCCGTTCCAGTTGTACTATGACACAGAGCAGTGGGCGAGGTGCGTGTGGGGGGGAGTGAGGGAGGGGCGAGTGAGGGAGGGGCGAGTGAGGCCTGTAAAGAACAGTGGGCAGGATGAGGAGAGGCCGTTCCAGTTGTACTATGACACAGAGCAGTGGGCGAGGTGCGTGGGGGGGGAGTGAGGGAGGGGCGAGTGAGGGAGGGGCGAGTGAGGCCTGTAAAGAACAGTGGGCAGGATGAGGAGAGGCCGTTCCAGTTGTACTATGACACAGAGCAGTGGGCGAGGTGCGTGTGGGGGGGAGTGAGGGAGGGGCGAGTGAGGGAGGGGCGAGTGAGGCCTGTAAAGAACAGTGGGCAGGATGAGGAGAGGCTGTTCCAGTTGTACTATGACACAGAGCAGTGGGCGAGGTGCGTGTGGGGGGGAGTGAGGGAGGGGCGAGTGAGGGAGGGGCGAGTGAGGCCTGTAAAGAACAGTGGGCAGGATGAGGAGAGGCCGTTCCAGTTGTACTATGACACAGAGCAGTGGGCGAGGTGCGTGTGGGGGGGAGTGAGGGAGGGGCGAGTGAGGGAGGGGCGAGTGAGGCCTGTAAAGAACAGTGGGCAGGATGAGGAGAGGCCGTTCCAGTTGTACTATGACACAGAGCAGTGGGCGAGGTGCGTGTGGGGGGGAGTGAGGGAGGGGCGAGTGAGGGAGGGGCGAGTGAGGCCTGTAAAGAACAGTGGGCAGGATGAGGAGAGGCCGTTCCAGTTGTACTATGACACAGAGCAGTGGGCGAGGTGCGTGGGGGGGGAGTGAGGGAGGGGCGAGTGAGGGAGGGGCGAGTGAGGCCTGTAAAGAACAGTGGGCAGGATGAGGAGAGGCCGTTCCAGTTGTACTATGACACAGAGCAGTGGGCGAGGTGCGTGGGGGGGGAGTGAGGGAGGGGCGAGTGAGGGAGGGGCGAGTGAGGCCTGTAAAGAACAGTGGGCAGGATGAGGAGAGGCCGTTCCAGTTGTACTATGACACAGAGCAGTGGGCGAGGTGCGTGGGGGGGGAGTGAGGGAGGGGCGAGTGAGGGAGGGGCGAGTGAGGCCTGTAAAGAACAGTGGGCAGGATGAGGAGAGGCCGTTCCAGTTGTACTATGACACAGAGCAGTGGGCGAGGTGCGTGGGGGGGGAGTGAGGGAGGGGCGAGTGAGGGAGGGGCGAGTGAGGCCTGTAAAGAACAGTGGGCAGGATGAGGAGAGGCCGTTCCAGTTGTACTATGACACAGAGCAGTGGGCGAGGTGCGTGGGGGGGGAGTGAGGGAGGGGCGAGTGAGGGAGGGGCGAGTGAGGCCTGTAAAGAACAGTGGGCAGGATGAGGAGAGGCCGTTCCAGTTGTACTATGACACAGAGCAGTGGGCGAGGTGCGTGGGGGGGGAGTGAGGGAGGGGCGAGTGAGGGAGGGGCGAGTGAGGCCTGTAAAGAACAGTGGGCAGGATGAGGAGAGGCCGTTCCAGTTGTACTATGACACAGAGCAGTGGGCGAGGTGCGTGGGGGGGGAGTGAGGGAGGGGCGAGTGAGGGAGGGGCGAGTGAGGCCTGTAAAGAACAGTGGGCAGGATGAGGAGAGGCCGTTCCAGTTGTACTATGACACAGAGCAGTGGGCGAGGTGCGTGGGGGGGGAGTGAGGGAGGGGCGAGTGAGGGAGGGGCGAGTGAGGCCTGTAAAGAACAGTGGGCAGGATGAGGAGAGGCCGTTCCAGTTGTACTATGACACAGAGCAGTGGGCGAGGTGCGTGGGGGGGGAGTGAGGGAGGGGCGAGTGAGGGAGGGGCGAGTGAGGCCTGTAAAGAACAGTGGGCAGGATGAGGAGAGGCCGTTCCAGTTGTACTATGACACAGAGCAGTGGGCGAGGTGCGTGGGGGGGGGGGGCAGTAAGAGTGTGGGGGGAGAGCGGGGGGAGTGAGGGGCGCTAGGAGAGGGCGGGCACTGGGGGAGGTGAGTGAGGTCTTGGGGGGGAAGGGAGGAAGGGAGGGTGTTGTGGAACGAGGGGAGTTGTGTGTGTGCGTGTGCCTGTGCGTTTTTGCCCTATGATTTATTACTTTGTTCCGTTATCCTGCCTTCCTCCCCACCCTCCTTCATTCTCTTCCTTCTCCTTCCCGCCTGCCCACCCTCCTTCTCCCCATCCCCTCCTCTCCTCCCTCCTCTCCTCCCTCCCTCCTCCCTCCTCTCCTCCTCCCTCTCTCCTCCCTCTCCTCTCCTCTCCTCCCTCCTCTCCCCCTCCTCCCCTCCTCCCTCCTCTCCTCCCTCCTCTCCTCCCTCCTCTCCTCCCTCCTCTCCCTCCCTCCTCTCCTCCCTCCCTCTCTCTCCCCTCCTCTCCGCTCCTCCCTCCTCTCCTCCCTCCTCTCCTCCCTCTCCTCCCTCCTCTCCTCCCTCCTCGTCCCTGCCCTCTCCTCCTGCGCATCCTCTCTCCTCACTGGCATGCAGCATCCAGCCCATCATATTCGCATCGGACTTCCTCCATCGCTTGGGGGCCCCCCTGGCCACCACAGCTGCCGAGAAGCAAAAGCTCTCCTCGCTCCTCCGCCTCCTAGGCTTGTCAACGTTCCTCCAAATGAAGCAGCAGCAGCAGCAGCAGCAGCAGCAGCAGCAGCAGCAGGGGGGGAGAAGGAAGAGGAGAAGGGGGAGGAGAACGGGAGCGCAACGGTGACTAGGGAGGGGTGGGGCAGCAGCAGGACAAGTGTCTGTGGTGCAGTTTGGTCTCTTCACTCCTGTCAGTCGAGTGAGGAGTGAGGGAGCCAATGCAACGGTGTTGGTGCGTTCACTGGAGCCATACCAGTTTGCGTATGAGCTCTGCTCGGATCAGGTCCCAACAAACATGGTCAGTGCTGCTTGTGTATTGCTATCTGCTCTCTATTTTAGATCGTTTCGCATATCAAATCTGCTCAAGGATTGTCAAGGGTTGTCGTTCTGCAGTGCTGAGGGGATGGGGTACGGGGGATGGGGCATGGGCATGGGGCAGGGCGCAGGGCGCATGTCGCAGGGCGCAGGGGACGGGGAGCAGATGAGGGTGGGAGGAGGGCGATTGTCTGCACACATTCTATGCCTACCTCTTCACTGCCCTCGTTCCATCCCTCGCCCCTCTTCCCACGACCTCCCTCTTTTCAACGCTCTCGCCCCCTCCCTCTTCTCCATCTTCCCACTTCCTCCCTCCTCCCACTCCCTCCCGCCTCTCCTCTCCTCTCCTCCGACCACCGTAGGCCCATCTGGTGCGCAACTACAAGCTGATCATGTGGGAGCGCATGCTGCGCAAGATGGGTATCTCCCCTCTCGCTTTCCCTGCCTCTTCCACTACCTGACTCCCCCCCACTCTCGCCTCCTCCCTCTCCTCCCTCTCCTCCCTCTCCTCCCTCTCCTCCCTCTCCTCCCTCTCCTGCCCTCTCCTCCCTCTCCTCCCTCCTCCTCCCTCTCCTCCCTCTCCTCCCTCTCCTCCCTCTCCTCCCTCTCCTCCCTCTCCTCCCTCTCCTCCCTCTCCTCCCTCTCCTCCCTCTCCTCCCTCTCCTCCCTCTCCTCCCTCCCTCCCTCTCCTCCCTCCTCCCTCTCCTCCCTCTCCTCCCTCTCCCTCTCCTCCCTTCCTCCTCCCTCTCCTCCCTCTCCTCCCTCTCCTCCCTCTCCTCCCTCTCCTCCCTCCTCCTCTCTCCCTCTCCTCCCTCTCCTCCCTCTCCTCCCTCTCCTCCCTCTCCTCCCTCTCCTCCCTCTCCTCCCTCTCCTCCCTCTCCTCCCTCTCCTCCCTCTCCTCCCTCTCCTCCCTCTCCTCCCTCCCCTCCTCTCCTCCCTCTCCTCCCTCCCTCCCCTCCTCCCTCTCCTCCCTCCTCCCTCTCCTCCCTCTCCTCCCTCTCCTCCCTCTCCTCCCTCTCCTCCCTCTCCTCCCTCTCCTCCCTCTCCTCCCTCTCCTCCCTCTCCTCCCTCTCCTCCCTCCTCCCTCTCCTCCCTCTCCTCCCTCTCCTCCCTCTCCTCCCTCTCCTCCCTCCTCCTCCCTCCTCCTCCCTCTCCTCCCTCTCCTCCCTCTCCTCTCCCCCTCTCCTCCTCTCCTCCCTCCTCCTCCCTCTCCTCCCTCTCCTCCCTCTCCTCCCTCTCCTCCCTCTCCTCCCTCTCCTCCCTCTCCTCCCTCTCCTCCCTCTCCTCCCTCTCCTCCCTCTCCTCCCTCTCCTCCCTCTCCTCCCTCTCCTCCCTCTCCTCCCTCTCCTCCCTCTCCTCCCTCTCCTCCCTCTCCTCCCTCTCCTCCCTCTCCTCCCTCTCCTCCCTCTCCTCCCTCTCCTCCCTCTCCTCCCTCTCCTCCCTCTCCTCCCTCTCCTCCCTCTCCTCCATCTCCTCCCTCTCCTCCATCTCCTCCTTCCATCGCAGGCGAACTTGGTGCGCAACTACAAGCTGATAGCACGGCAGGCCATGCTGCGCAAGGTGGCGAACAAGGTGTGCGCATCCATGGGTTGGAACTTTGATGCCGTGCACGTGCGGCGGGGGGACAAGGTCAATCCCACCTTCTGGCCACACCTCGACCGCGACACACGCCCGCCCGCGTGAGTGGGTGGGAGGGGAAGGCTTCTCGCGGGGGAAGAGGAGGTGAGGGGACGGGCTGGGTGGCAAACAAGGTGTGCTTGTCCATGGGTTGGTAAGCAGTGCATGCTCTTGGAACTCTTCAAGCACGCTCCTGCCCATGCTATTTCCGCATGCATCCATCTCGTCAGATCCAAATTCAACGGTCCATTTTCAAAGGTGTTTCACATGACAGCACTCTCAACATACTCATCTCCACGTTGTGGTATTACATTGCTCCAAATGCCTGTTGTTTTTCTCCCATCCTGTTCACTGGTCTCCTCCGAGCTAGAACGAAAGCAGACCCTTGAGTCCTGGCCTTTTTTCCATCTCCATTCAGAGAAATCTGGCAGAAGTTAACTGCCTAGCCGCCCCTTCTGAAAGCCTCGTCTCTCTCATGCTCCCGATCCTCCTCCCGCCAACTAGCTTGTTGAAAAGGCTCCCGCGCTTCATAAAGCCGGGGCGCCACGTGTACATAGCGTCGAACGAGCGCACGCCGGGCTTCTTCAGCCCGCTCGCCTCGCTCTACAAGATCCACGTGCTCTCCGACTACCGCCACCTCTGGGCGCCCAGCAGTGACTGGTACAACGACTGCCGCACGCTCATGCAGCAACTCAAGATGAACGAGACGGAGCCGGTCTTTGACGCGCACATGCAGGTATGTGATAGTTGTAGTAGTTGTTGTTTCACTCTAGGTTTCCTGCCTTTCTTCTGTCTTTCCTTTCCAATGCAAATGAGTTGAATGTCGGGGAACTATTTTTCCCGTGCTAATATTGATCTTGTTATCCGTGACAAAACCATAGTTTCATCACGACCAACTTATTCATTTTCGGTGGCCCTTGGTGATCGCGTTGTTTTGTGTGTGTGCAGTATATTGTTGAGGATATGGTGTTTGGTGATGCTAATAAAAAAGTAGAGACATTCAATGACCTTACTGATGACCCAAGGCATGGTGTGCTTGAGTAATGCCGGTAATAAGAAGCCTAACTGGCCAGTTCCATCCAAACACAATTCAATTGGTTACAATTGGTAACCCTTTGTTATGAGTTGTCAAACAGAGTTGCGCGGAATAACGAATAACGAGGCTGTGACTCAATGAACTGACGATACAATGAAAGGCATGCGATTATATAGCGAGACAACCTAGCTAGGCGGGAACCTCGGGAACGCGAGGTTGGGTGCAGGTTGGGCAATGGAAAGCCGAAGGCGACGCGAGGTTGCTTCGGCAGCAAGCAAAGCGGCCGAACGTGCACTTCCGAAAGTTGGGGTTGTACGCGGTTGAGTAAACCCCAGTAAGGAAAAAGGGATTTTCCTTACACTACCCCCCCCCCCCCCCCCTTAAGAAAGGTGGCCAACATCCACAGCTCGCTTGCGGGCGAGGTAATCACCAAGAAGCGGGGAAGCTTCAAGCGAGGCGGATGGCACCCATGTGTCGTCCTCACTGGTGCGGTCAGTCCAACGGATAAGAAAGTCCACGTGGCGTCCCGAAGCGTCGAGCCGAACACGATGCGCCAAAATCTTGGACGGGTCGAGTGTCGGTTCCGGGACAGGTCGAGCTGTCGGGACGGCGTTCTGGCGCGCGATGTCTGTCGTGGCAGGCACGAACTTGCGTAATAAGCTGACGTGGAAGGCGTCGTGAATACGCCAGTCGTCGGGTAGTAGCAGCTTCGCGGTGACAGGTGTCACCATCTTGAGGATCCTGAAAGGCCCACAGAATCGTGGCCGTAACTTCGATGGGCCGGGCAGGTGCAGGTTCTTCGTGTCCAGTAGTACTAGTTGCCCAGCTGCCAAGACGAGTTCCCGTCGTAAAAGGTCGGTGTATTTGCGGGAAGTGGTATTCGCCTTGCGAATTGCGTCCGCAGCCTTCTCGCGAATTTCTTGGAGTTCTGTCACAAATGTTTGTGACCTCGGGACCGGGTTGTCAAGTGTAGTCGTGGGTGAATAGTCCCGAAAGGAGCGGGTTCGAATGGGTGATCAGTACAGCTGCTGATTGGACTGTCGGTCGGGTCAGGGCGTCGGCAATGTTGTTCGCGCCCTTCTTGTAGGTGATCCTGTAGTGGAAGTGTGACTCCATGTAATCGAGCCACCGGATTTGTCGCGGGTTGAGGTTGGGTTGCGCTCGAAGGTACTGTAGGGATTTATGATCGGTGCGAACAGTAACGTCGGCTCCAGTCAGGTAGCATCGCCACAGTTTAAACGCGTGAATGATGGCGAGCATCTCCTTGTCGTGAATCGGGTAGTTGCGTTCGGCTGCCTGCAACTTGCGGGACTCATAGGCGATCGGTTGTAAGCCGTTGCCAAAATCCTGGAGCAGCACTGCGCCGATGGCGAAATCTGAAGCGTCGGTGACAACTTCGAACGGCTTGGATGGGTCGGCGATGCGAAGAACCGGAGGGGACACCAGTAACTGCTTCAACTCCTGAAAAGCCGCCTCAGCCTCTTCCCCCCACACGAAATTCCTATCCTTGTGCAGCAGGTCGGTCAGCGGGCCGGTTATCCCCGCCATATTCGGGATAAACCGCCGGACATAATTCACAAACCCCAGAAAACTCTGAAGTTCCGTGACATTAGTCGGGGCCTTCCACTCCTGGATGGTCTTGATTTTCTTCGGGTCGATTTTGATGCTGTCACGTGATATAGATGACGTGCCCCAAAAACTCCAACTCTTGCTTAAAAAACTCGCACTTAGAGCCCTTGGTGATGAGGCGGTTCTCCTGCAACCGCTTAAACACTGCGTCGAGGTCGCGGAGGTGCTGCTCGCGTGTCCTGCTAAAAATCAGGATATCTTCTATTTGGACGATAACACACTTGTCCAGCAGGTCGCGAAATACCCTGTTCATGGTGCGTTGGAATGTTGATGGCGCGTTCGTGAGGCCGAAAGGCATCACAGTGAACTCGTAGCTACCGTAGCGGGTTCGGAAGGCGGTCTTGTGACAGTCGTCAGCGAAGACCCTGATCTGGTGGTAACCGCCGCGTAGGTCAATTTTCGAGAAGTAGCGAGCGCCGCGAAGTTGGTCGAGGAGGTCGTCGGTGCGTGGGATGGGATAGCGAGATTTTATGGTAACCCGGTTGAGCGCGCGATAGTCGATGCACATGCGAATGCCGCCGTCCTTCTTCGGTGTAAACAGGATCGGCGCGGCAAAGGGCGAAGTACTGGGTCGGATGAAGCCCTTCTCCAACAGTGACTCAAGTTGACTTCGAAGCTCCGCGAGTTCGGGCTGAGTCAACCGCCACTGTGTACGAACAGTCGGATGCGCGCCAGGTTCCAGCTGGATTTTGTGGTCTTCGGGTCTCTCGGGTGGTAGGCCAGGTGGCAAATCGTCGGGGAAGATGTCGGGGTACTGTCGAATCAGCTCCGCTAAATCAGGTGGTACAGCTGAGCACAGCTTTTCGATGTCGTTTCCGTCGTTGTCGGCTGCCAACTCGCATAAACATACGGCGAACAGTTGCGCACCCCTGTTGACGTGGCGTGTAATCGTGATGGCTTTGACGCATGTAGACTCGATGCAGTCCGGAGTCCACGCGGGCAGAGTAATCAGCTTCCCGTCCTTGCTGATGCTGCACGATCCCGTCGTCCAATCGATTATCGGGTTGTGCCGTCGCAGCCAATCGCGCCCCAGGAGCACGTCGCATCCGTCCAACGTCGTCGCGAGAAACTTCATGCTGAAGCCGAAATCGTCGCCGCACTCAATCCGCACCGTCCGTGTTTCTTCCAAAATCGCCAGAGGCGTCCCATCCACGAGGCGGGCGTCAATTTCGGGCAGACACCTGTCCAGCTGCAACTTGCATTTTTTTGCTGTCGCCAGATTGAAGAGGCTATGGCTAGCCCCGCCATCGACGAACATTTTTATTTTTTTCTTAACAACCGTGCCAACAACCAGCACAGGGTGATCCACATGTTCACCCCCGTTATTCGTCCGAGTGCGATCGATTGCATGAATCGGAACCACGACTCGGTGGGGATGGTGGGGTTCGGGCGACAGAGCACAGTCAGTAAGGGGCCCGTCTGTTACTGACTCTTCCCATTTCCCGGCTCCTTCCCGTCGTTCCTCTTTCCCTGCGTCCTGTCGGGGCAGTCTTTATACATGTGGCCCGGCTTCCCGCACTTAAAACACAACCCTGTAAAAGGGCGGTCTGGCGCATGGACTCCGTTAATCGTGGCCCGCTGGGTCTGTCCACGAAATCGGTTTCCCTCCCGAGAACTCGATCTCGCCCACTGCATCAGCGCGTCTGTGCTCTCGGCCAATCGGACGGCTTCGTTGAATGTTGCTGGACGGCTGCGGCGCACCTCGTACTGTATCTCATACTTCAAGCCGCTGATGTATTTATCCAACCGTTCAGCTTCCGCCATGTCGTCCACTTGATCCGCGAGCGCCATAAACGACGCTGTGTAGTCTTGAACAGAAGCCAACTGTGACCAGGTACGCAGCTTCATGCGAGCGTGTTCCGAGGCGGATACATGCTCGAAACGCTCTCGTAAGGCTGCGCCCCACTGTTTCCACGTGCGAATTGTGGCCACACCGAATATTGATGATGCCCTCCCAATAGCAGAGTCCGAAGTCCCGTCTGCCGCATGTGTCACACCTGTCGGGGTCCCCGTGTCCAAGGTTCGTCGCCACCACTCAAGCGCCGGGCCTCGCAGAAGCGATACCGCGTAATTAATACGCGTGGCGTCGTCGTTGACATTCGCTGCAGTGAAGAACACCTCCACGCCGAACAACCACCCCTTAACTGTAGTATTCTTGTCTGTAGGGTTGAACGGGGGCGGGCTCGTAGGCTTTATCTTGATTGTTGTCACTGCAACTGTTGTCGCTGCCGCCGCTCGCTGCCTATCTTCTTCTTCGAAGCCGCGTGTGAGCTCCTCCAACGGATTGCCGCTCACCGCTTGACCAGTGCTCTCGCCTTCTTCAGCGGGCGACTCCTGGCGCGCTTCACCTCGCGCCTGGCGTAGCTCGTTGTTTTCTTCACGTAGTCTCTCCACTTCTGTCGTTAACGCCTTCATGCCTGCCGACATTTCTGCCACTTGCTGCATAAGTTTGTTGAACGCCTCCTGGTCCATGAGTCGCAAGCTACGTCTAACAGGCAAGTGGGTCTCCGTGACTATCCGGCAACAGTGCAAGCGCAAAAGCTATCGGGGTCGGGCAAGTTTAATTTAATAAACTTTGCAACCAACCGCTTTGCAGCCCACCGTACCAGTCACACCCGTGCCTCTAAACTACCCTGGAAAAGCGGGGTGAACTAGGAAAGTAGCTCTGATACCAGGTGTTATGAGTTGTCAAACAGAGTTGCGCGGAATAACGAATAACGAGGCTGTGACTCAATGAACTGACGATACAATGAAAGGCATGCGATTATATAGCGAGACAACCTAGCTAGGCGGGAACCTCGGGAACGCGAGGTTGGGTGCAGGTTGGGCAATGGAAAGCCGAAGGCGACGCGAGGTTGCTTCGGCAGCAAGCAAAGCGGCCGAACGTGCACTTCCGAAAGTTGGGGTTGTACGCGGTTGAGTAAACCCCAGTAAGGAAAAAGGGTTTTTCCTTACACCCTTTGTGTCTTGCTGGACAGGTCCTGAACGTGCGTGTGGCCTTTAGCACGCTTGGACATCGGACCGTCCGTCATTCTTCGTAGCCCTACATTTTCGACGGTGGGATCGCCAAATTCTGGCTTGCGAAGTCCCGTCCACGCACCCCTTTGTAACATGTCACGACTCACGACACGACGATCCCCATTGTCAAATTTTGGCAGGCGAGGTGTCGAATCGCGTGCTCGATGCTGCATGGCACGCGGCGCCATTTCTGCAGATTTCCCCTTGACAGAACTCTGCTCTATTCCCCAAACCAATTTTACCGAACCGACTCGACCACACCGCAAGCCAAGCCAACCAAGCCAACCAAGCCAACCAAGCGCTCGTCCCACTGGCCCCCGCCCCCATTCCCTGTTGCTGACGGTACCCAAGCGAAACCCTCAGGTCCGGTGGATTTGCGTATGTTTGTGTTGCAGTAACTTCCTGTACGGTTCAGAGCGATGACCGCAATCTAGATGTTTCCCCCAACCCCCACTACCCCTGCCACCTGCCATACCAGCGCGACCCGAACAAATTTCTCTCCTAGACCCGACTAGTTTATCCTCCAACCCCAGCCACGGGAAGCCGCGCCTATGCATGAACGTCCCATCGTCGTTGCACAAAATAAGGAGACCAGGTCAAAGGGGGAGATGTCATAATTCATCCTTATTGGCGACTTGCATTACCTACATGTATTTCGAGGAAAGTCAACTTTATGGACGGCCTGTCATTAGTACAAGGCGGCAGCGGCCTTTCTAGGGTTAGTTGATTCGCACTAACTCCGAAGTACTCGGGATCGTCAACTGAACATCGCGTTCCTTCTCAGTTGTCTTCCCTGACATTGCCACTATAGCTTGCCGTCTAATAGACGATCAGCTAGAGCAAATCCGCTGCGACTACAACTTCTTTATGGCGGTAATAGCGCAAGGGTCCCCCGTTAGAACTTCCTCTCGGCATAAGAACTTGTCCAGCTCGCCTCTATGTTTAACAGACCGCTTTGACGCGACCGCTGTAACGGGAATCCATGGTGGCTGGAGAGCAGCTCGAGGAGGCGTAGTTTCAACAGCAACGGGTGGATTAGGGACGAATAACGAAGGAAGTGGCAAGTGGTCAGGCCCTAGGGCACGTCCTCTCGCTTTCGTCGCAGCGGTTTTGCTCGGGATGTGCCTCGCTGCTCGCATGGTCGCACATATTTCTAGAGTATCGCCGTGGTCGCACGATGGTCGTCGTTTCGTCTTCGACCCCGAGCGACTGAGCGTTGCGAAGAACAATGCGACAGGCCGCCGCGACGGGCTGGTGAATAGAACCGAGATGAGCCGAACTGACAGAGAAGGAGAAGCACAGAGAAGAAGTACTAACAGTACAGTTGATGCGCCTGAAGCGGTGAGCAACTCAACTGCTCTCGTGGACGACCTTTCGCCCGACGATCACGCGATACCAGTGGGTTTAGCTCAACCCGCATCCCCACAACGACAGGCTCACGACCTTGTCGCACCCGTGCGACGACCAGCGTCGTCGCATGCAACGGCTGCTCCAGCGGCGGCGGCAACCGAGCGATATTACATGGTGGTAGGTGCACGAGACACGGATTTGTGTGCTGGCGAGTCGCACTGGAGATGGAGCGTCTTATGCGCTGCGGCCGAAGCGAAGTACTTAAATCGCACGATGGTAGTCCCTATGATGTACTGCACGAGTAAATACCATTCCTTGAGCGGAGAGCGCGAAGAGCGGCCGATGCAGCTGTACTATAAAACAGACGACTGGCCCAAGCACCAGCCGCTTATCTTCGACACGCAATTCAAGGAGCGCTTCGGAGAAGTATGGCCGCGGTTCCTAAAGAAGAAGGGCGTGTCGGTGGCGGAATATGGGCCCTGGAACAGCACGGATCGCGTGGCGAGGGAGGCGGCTCGGGCGACGCTGTTGGTTCGGCGGTTGAGGGACGACGAGTACGCGTATCAAATCTGCCAGCAGGAGGAAAACAAGGTGAGTCCGGTCGATGAGAATTAATACGAAGGCGAAGGAGGCAGTAACGAGGACCGTAGGAGCCAAGAGAAACAGGGCCCAGAATGAGTTTTAAGACGTGTCGCAGGACACGAGAAGTTAGATTGCAACGGGGCCCTTTCAAGGAGGGCGGAGCAAGTGGCTGCTGGAATGGAGAAGCCGCCCTTGATTAAGCAGAATTCTATATTTCTCACTGCTGCTTTTTCAATCGGCGTTAGCATCCGCCGATGCTGCTGCCACTCCCAACAGCCTTATGTTCGCGGGCTTCTCGCCTCTGCTTTCTGATTTCAGTGTGGCACGCAGTGACGCACTGCTGGTCCCCGTTGATAGCCCATAGCTCCGTGAAGATATCATAATTTGAGCCTGCCTCCCGTCAGCTATATCGCCTTGTTTCTCTTCATTGAGTGCTTCTTCTCGTTCACCCTCATTGTCTCTTTCTTCTCCCCATCAACGTGCATCCCATGTTTCATCCTTGTGTCTCGCTCCCCCTTCTTCACCACCCATATCCCTCTTCCCCATTGCCCCTCCCTCTCTCTCCGCATCCACCTCCTTCTCCCCCCATCCCGGTACCCTGCCCGACCCTGTTCCCCCGCGCGTAACGGCGACAGGAGCGGCTGGTGCGGAATTTCAAATTGCTGCGGCGATCGCAGTCGCTGGTTCGCGTGGCAAATCGAATCGCAGCGTCCATGGGATGGTACTACGTGGCAGTGCACGTGAGGCGCGGCGACAAGGTGGCTGATACCAACCGAGAGCTCTGGCCTAATCTGGACCGAGACACTCGACCTGAGGCGTAAGTGTGGCATTATGATTTCCAGTCGAACCCTCTCTCTCTCCCTCCCTCCCTCCCTCCCTCCCTCCCTCCCTCCCTCCCTCCCTCCCTCCCTCCCTCCCTCCCTCCCTCCTCCCTCCCTCCCTCCCTCCCTCCCTCCCTCTCTCTCTCTCTCTCTCTCTCTCTCTCTCTCTCTCACACACACACAGACACACACACACACACACACACACACACAATCAGCACACACTACCACCAGCACCCCCCTGGAGTGTTCTGCTGATCCACTTCCTCTCCCCACGTGACCCAACCATTAACCCTTCTGCTTCCTTCCAGCCTTCTCAAGACTCTTCCCAAGTTGGTAAAGCCGGGGCGGCACGTGTACATAGCGTCGAACGAGCGCACGCCGGGCTTCTTCAGCCCGCTCGCCTCACTCTACAAGATCCACGTGCTCTCCGACTACCGCCACCTCTGGGCGCAGGGCAGTGACTGGTACAACGACTGCCGCACGCTCATGCAGCAACTCAAGATGAACGAGACGGAGCCGGTCTTTGATGCGCACATGCAGGTGAGACACCTCTCTTTTCAAGGCCTTGCTGTCTTATGTACAATGATGCATGTGCTTGACGCTATCTTCTTTTGGTGGAATTGCACTCAATAGATATTTTGTGTTATGTGTGTTCTTGAATGCTTTATTGGGTGTATGTTGATGACAACACTGGTCCTTTTTTGTTGGTGTGCAATTGTGCATGTGCATCTCTCTCCCGAATCAGTGGATCGTGGACGAGATTGTGTTGAAGATTGCTCGGAGAGTCATAGAGACGTTCAATGACCTTACGTCGGATCCCAGGAATGGCCTAATCAGGCAGAAGCTGAGTAATTCATCTTCAGAGTCTGTGGCCCCAGCTGCAGTTACCACCTCTACATACTCCTCCATAAAAAGGTTTGACAATGAAAGCAGTGAACTCTCATAATACGGTAGCATTTCTATGCAGTGGGCAAGTATCACTGTCAGAGGTCCACTGGGGATCCCCGATGATCCTAGGGAAGGGTTACAGGCACGTCGGCCTGGGGGGTTATGGGCGCACTCACCCGCTATATAAATAAGCCCTTTTATCCCAGTGGTTAGTGGCTGGGATTCTGACATGGTATCAGAGCGAAGGTCTCGGGTTCGATTCCCGGTGTGTGCACTTCGGGCATCCCAGTGCGGGGGGGTGTCAGAGGTCCACTGGGGATCCCCGATGATCCTAGGGAAGGGTTACAGGCACGTCGGCCTGGGGGGTTATGGGCGCACTCACCCGCTATATAAATAAGCCCTTTTATCCCAGTGGTTAGTGGCTGGGATTCTGACAATCACTACTAAGATTTGTACATTTTATAATATTCAGTGTCCTACATGAGGGGTTTCTTGGGCTTGGCTGCAGTAAGTTAAGTATACTTTGGTAGAGTGTTAACATTTTCAACACGAATATGCTGTGCAACTCCACAGCTGGCACTCATGTATGTATATGTATACACAGTATCGCAATCTCGAGGGGTGCTGTCTTTGGTATTACACTGAACCGAAACCTGTACCAATCAGTATGAATCTGATTGTACTGAGGCTTTTGTTGTCAGAAACTACGAATGCTTTCGGGACGGGAAGGGATGTTCGTGCGGGCAGCTGGTCAGTTCAAGGAACACCCAACTGGTGTCCCAATCCGGCGCATTGTGTAACCCAACGAATCGCTATGACCCCACAGTCCTCGGAATCTGGAAAGGGTCAGGCCACGAATGCTTTTCCTTCGCTCTCTCCCATGACACATCACAACACCGCCCAGCACCACCGCCTGTGCGCAACATTTGTGCAGAGCCCTCCACACACATAAAAGCCTCCACCCAACATCAGTTTTCCAATTGAATACGCCCGCGCCACACCTCAATTACCTCATCAATTGCGGGCAGGAGGAATCTCCCTGCTGTTCCCAAAAGCACCCACGATCTTGGGGCTTCCCTGCCCATCCAGCCGTTGCTCCCAGCATCGTTTTCCCCGTAGCCGTTGATTCACCAAAGGAGAGTATTCTCTGACCTGCTCTAGAGAGGCCAATGTTTTCGTGTCATGCTACTTGCCAGCAGCTCCCAAGGTTGAGCTGCCGTGCAATCCCGCAATTTGCAGGAGCACCTGTGAGGGAAATACCTTCTACCGTCACTGGTCGGAAGGCGAATTCCGAACCGCTTCAAGGCCAAGTCAAGACGATTTTTTTCCGAGCTAAGCAGCCTCCGCGCTTAGGATCCTGTCGTCTTTCCGTCGTGAGCGTGTTGTCTGAAGACTCCGCGCGACGTTCGCTGAACTCGTCGCTACCGTTGAGAACGCGCAGCATCGTGACGCTGTCGCCCGATCAAGACCTATTGGAAGTGGCAATGGCGCCTCCTGCTGGAGACGGCACGGAAGTGACCATGGCGGCAGCAGCCGAACCGCCTCAAGTGTACACGGTCGGCAGCTCGACGAATATCAAGTGGCACGAGACGAAAGTCGGCAAGGAGGAGCGGTACGTCCCGCGGCGTGCGCCTCTCCGTCAGCAGCATATCTCTTATTCGAACGTTTTTTCTCTCTTACACCGAATCGGATTTTATGTGCTGACCTATAATCGAACGCGTGCAGGGAACGGTTGCTAGGGCAGCGCGGGTGCGTGATCTGGATGACGGGGCTGAGCGGCGCGGGCAAGAGCACGTTGGCGTACACTCTCGAGCACGCGCTCATGGAGCGACGGCGCATGGCCGTGGTGCTGGATGGGGATAACATCCGGCACGGCCTGAATAAGAACCTCGGATTCAGGTACTGCTCCTTGCATTCCCGACGACGCTTATCCTTGCCGGGTTAGCTCCGGATATACAATCTTGCGGCCGCATTTGAGCTATGCTTGATAGTGTGCTCCAAATTAATTCAATTTCCTAGATTTAAAGCGTTTCTTTGCCATGTGCAGTGCTGCGGATAGAGAGGAGAACATCCGCCGAGTCGCCGAGGTGGCAAAGCTATTTGCTGACTCGGGTGTGATTACAATCGTCAGCTTCATCTCGCCCTACAGGTACAGACCACGTGCTTGCTCTCGGATTATGCAGGTGAAGGGTATCGTTTCTGCTTGCGTTCCCAGTCCCTTCTCCATCCCGCCGCTACTTTCAAAGCGTGTAAAGCTGCTCGCACTCCTCCTCTCAGACTTCCCGTCTGATCCTAACAACCCTTTCCCTCGTTTCCTTCTCCCTTTCCCCTCCTTTCCTTCTCCCTTTCCGCTCCTTTCCTTCTCCCTTTCCCCTCCTTTCCTTCTCCCTTTTCCCTCCTTTCCTTTTCCCTTTTCCCTCATTTCCTGCTCTCTTTTCCCTCTTTTCCTTCTCCCCTTTCCTTTTCCTTCTCCCTTTTCCCTGCCTTCCCTTCCCCACTTCTCCCTCCCTTCCGTCCCCTATTCTCCTCCCGCGCTCCCTTCCCCCCGCACTCTCCCTCCCTCTTCCCGGTGCTCTGGCAGCAAGGATCGGGCGGCTGCGCGGGC